ACTCACAATAACCAAAATCATGGGACAAGAAGCATGCAAACCAACAAGCGAACCTAGATCTAACCCAATAAATCATAAAGGTGAGAACTTTATACTTCCTGAATTTGGCAAATGAGATGAAAGCTCTGGATATTTAATCTTGAGCCACACGAATCCACAATGAGAGACTTCTCCTTCTTCAAGTGTACCAAAAACACACAAAAATGATCATGATTATCTCTAGGAGATTAGTTTTCCAGTTAGATGCTCAAGAGGATGGAGGCTGACTCTGACATCCCCAAATTCACAGTCATTTTAAAATTTTTATTTATGCTTATTTAAAAATTAGAGTATCCATTTTAAAGAATGATATTGTGGAATTTGTTCCCAGAAAACATGATAAAGATATTATCAAAGTATTTCCGAAGAAATGTATTTTGTTTATATTAAAACTTTGGGAGGTCATCATCAATACAGAAACATAAGCATAGATAGACCTTACATTTATTTACACTAATGATCTACATCTACGTTAAACTCTCAGTGTAATGTAGCTTCGTATCGATACCTATGATACAAATAAACTGAGTGGTTCGGGTTGGGAAACCTGGTGAGTACATAAGGATTTCAATCCCACAATGTTATATATATATATATATATATATATATATATATATATATGTATGTATGTATGTATGTATGTATGTATGTATGTATGTATTAGAACTCACAATATATACAATTTCATCTCATATAAGCAATTTTACCCCACCCCTTTGATCCTTACAATGATACGATCCATACTCTTGGATCTAAAATTAACAGCTTTACCTAATACATACTCCTGGATCCGGTATGTCTAATCCATGCTCTCGGATCGATGACAAATGACTATGTCCACTCCATACTCTCGTACTAGGGACGGATGACTATGTCTAATCCATGCTCTCGGATTAATAAAGTTCTACCCTCCTTGTGTACCTCACTCGTACTCATAAGAAGATACTACCCAATATGCCTCTTAATTAATTCAGGTTTACTTTGTATCCTAAATCATCATATATTGTCAGATATGCTCGTAATACGTATTTTAGGTAATATCAAATATTTCACACATAAACATATATTTAATACTTTAATTGATACTTGTATTAAAATCATGATCATGAAAGGGACTATGCAATCACTTGTTAAAGTGTTGACTCCAAACTCGGGCAGCGCTTCGCTTCTAACAAATTTATTTTCTTTCGACGAAACCTAGTATCATTATCACTAAATTTTAGTATAATATTTATTGCGATTAATTATTAGTCGAGCAATATTGTTTTTCTTTTATTATATAAGTGTTAAACAATACTTTCAACTACTATGTACAGACAGAGGCCGTACATGAAACACCGGAGGGCGGGACAATTTTGGCATTTAAGCTGTTCAGAAATCGAACAACCCTGTGCGGCCCTTCAAACCAGATTCCCCGTACCGCGAGCAGTTAAAAGGTATTATAATAACACTTTGTATAATTTATAATACTTAACACATATATTGTTATAGGTTCATAATAACGATAATGAACCTAAACATAAATTATACTTAAAGTACGACAAGCATAACTCACTTACAGGTGGTTTAGCGAGAAACCGAGCTTTATGCGGGTAGAACTTTGTCGCTGAATCTTTCTAAAATGATTCTTGTAGCGCTTCAGTGCTCACATTACTATACAAAAACTACATATAGAGAAGTTAAATCATGAGGGACCGAAATGCTCAGAGGATAAGAAGAGAAAGACTCTTGAATCAAGAGAATGATGTAAGAAATATGAGAGCCTAGAGCCTCTTATTTATAATAATTGAATTTTCAAAAACCACCCTCTATAGTTACTTAAATGACCTTATAGTCATTTAAACGACTAAACACCCCTTTATAATACTATTTTAAATAGATTTAATGATATTTGTACTAAACTAATATCGAAAGTACTCAACACTAGTCTTATAATGACCGCATCGTCGACACATTTTTAATGATATATACATATGTTGATACAAAACTCCGTTTTAATACGTAATAATGATATTATAAATTATAACTCGTTCATACAAAACTCCGTTTTTGACGTTTTTTATATCCACGCATAGCTATTGACGAGATCTACAACTTTCGTTTAGACTTCATCGGCTAATTTTGACTTTATTTTTCGTCCATATTTTTATAAAATTAAATAATTTTGCTAAAATCATAACCCTCTCGCACGGACTCCGTTTTAACACTTTTTTTCTCAAAATTCTTATTAAAGAGTACTATGAATTTTTTTGAGTGATTTTAGCAAAAAGTCAATCATTCGCTATATAGCTTTTTGCATCATATATTCATGGTGCGCTACTAACTTTTATATATTATAAAAATCATATCTAATATATACGGAGTCACATTTATACGAAATTAATAGGTTCAGGATCGGGAAGACGTGTACTTTCTAAATATATAATAATAGAGTAAATGACTGAAATCGTCCCTATGGTTTGGTTAAAATTGCACGTTTGATCCCTAACTTTTTTTGCACTCGAATCGTCCTTGTGGTTTGATTTTGTTGCGTTTTTCGTCCCTGTGGTTTGATTTTGTTGCATTTTTCGTCCCTTACATACATAAAGTTAGGGACCAAACATGCAACTTTTACCAAACCATAGGGACGAAAAATGCAACAAAATCAAACCACATGGACAATCTGAGTGCAAAAAGAAAATTAGGGACCAAACGTGCAATTTTGACCAAACCACAGGGATGATTTCAGTAACTTACTCATAATAATATATATGTTTTGACGCATTTATTTTTAAGATTTACGGACGATTCAACTGATTTTTCCTATTTTATTATATTATAATAATCATGAAACACATAATATTCATATAATTTTTCTTTATTACGTCAGATAGGTTACAATTGTTGAACATAATTATTACTTTGGTTAAGATTATTTATCCTATATAATATTTTACCCAAAAAATCATTTTTAACGCTTATTATATCTTAACAGATTAGCCTGAATTTGCAGGTGTTACAATTATCTCCTCCTTAGGATGATTACGTCTCGTAATTGTCAACGAAACAAGGCATGTACAATGACTCCGTACGTTTCCTTTCCATCCTAGGTGGTAATCGTAACTATTATGTCCTTTCAAATGGGTATCTAACTCTAAGACTCCTTGATTGTTTGCGGTGCGCAATCTTGCACTCGCTCTTTATCCTATGTTGGACTTTTTATCGTAACCTTCGAGTTACAAAATCAATCCTTATTAGAGACTGATGTTTCTACATAAATAGACTTAACTTAATATAAGGTCTTTATTTCGATTATCGTAACAAACCGATGGGTCATGTTCTAATGACCTCTCATCATATGATGCAACGCTTAGACTCAGGTATTTTTGAGTCAGATTCCAGATTGGAAGATACCTTCCTTCATGTTCTAATGTGATATAATCACATTCTAGCATGTAGCACTTCTAGCTACAAGCTTCTTATTTTGACGCCAATAGTGATACTTCTATTGATCGCTTCGATTATCTTTCACTTCAATCTTCTAGCTTAAGTTAGATGCTACATCGAACATGGTTCTTTGAACCACGTAACATATTCATCTTAGTCAGACTCAATATGATATGACCACTAGGGTCGGAATAATAATCATCTTCTTATTCATTACTGAATCGATGGTAAAGACAGACATGAACAAAACAGAATTAATTACTAGTACCTTGTTAATCTTGTGACTTTCACTGATCCAAATGTGAGTCTTGTGCTTCCGGTAGTATAGGCTTCTATTACCTTTCACACATACGCGTACTCGTCCAAAGTATTATCTTGCAGTTCTCCATATCCCTATACAAATATTTCACAAAGTCATTTAAGACATCGGGTTACGTAACTAGGGTTTATATTATTTCTTGAAACAATTACGTAATATTCAAGTTTACCCTATACTATGGCTTTGTGCTTGTCACCTAACATGAAAATAAAAAAAATAGTGTCTTATCTTTGATTGTCTTGGTAGTTGTTTTATGGTATGACCTTCTCGTTATCTGTTAAGTTGTAGAGACCGGTAGGTTGCATGGGTCAAGGGGAGTAGCTCCGTACGGGGGACAAGATAGTAAACCAAATAGAAATTTTTTATGGGCTGGTTTCTATATTAAATTCTCCTTTAAATTTTGTCATGGAACAATTTTTGTCAGAGTTTTTTGGGCTCGACCTTATTGTTATTTTTCGGTCAACCGCCTAGTATAAATATACCTTTTGATTTCGTGTTACCTACATGTAATAAGCCATTTGGTAAGATTAATAAAATCTCTCTCTCTCTCTCTCTCTCTCTCTCTCTCTCTCTAGTTTACGCCCGTGGACATGTAGCCGATTACTCCGATCCTGTGAATCACGTAAATTGATTGTGTTCTTATTTTCCTTTTTTTTCATTATCACTTTATGTGTGAAATTTATATTATTTTTTTGAAGTTGTTAAACCCTAACATCAACATCCAACCCAACCTACATACAACATATAATTTCTAAGAATATTGATGAAACGAATTACACCTGAAAAACCTAAAACATTTACCTTAGTATTGTGGGTGATGTAACCCTCACTCCTCAAGGGTCGATAACCTTATAAATATTCCTAGTCAACAATCTCACACTAAGTGGTGCCTTGATCTAGTAAACATTGTTGGCCACCGATTCTCACGCACAAGTTGGGCATAATTGTGTTTAATTATGTCAACATTTGCTATATTCTTGCATCCGTTACGGTTCTCCCCGATTGTCGCAATTGTATCGTGACAAATGTGAGTCTTGATGACTGTAGTGGTGGCTCTCCATAAGTATTTTTCACGTTAGCAAAAGATACTTCAAAACACCGCAAATCTATCATTTAATAATTATCTTACACTCTCTTATAACTCATAATATAAATTTATAGAAAAATATATTTAAGAAAAAAATTTATTTATTCTACATTAAATTTCGTTGTCGACGACCTTTTTAAAATTGTTTAATTTATTTGGAAACGAGGATACCGGAGTTGTTGTGTTTCATGTATAACATTTTGTCTCCACAGCTGAATCAAAAGGTCCATCAACGAAGTCGACCACCGGACCACCCCCTCAACCATTAGATGTCCGCCACGTATCATATCTATTTTCCTGTTCTCGCATCTTGTATCTCCGTCATCTGTCGACGCTTGTCACCATCCTCTTCCCCTATTTATAGCTCCATCAGTCTTCCTAATCTTTAGAACAATACCAAACACTTTACCCAAAACCCTTCATCCAAATTTCGTGTTTTGCTCTTTAAATCGGTTCGGAATCCAAGAACATCTCGCATATATCTGTGTCAATTTTATACAAAATGAGTCGATTCTGGACGTTGATGTCTGGTGTCCATCAATTAGCTGGGTAAGCATCAATCAAATTACAAATTACTTCTTCCTTCTTCCTTCTGATTCAACTTCGCTTATGTTACTTTACTTGATTACTGTTTTCAGACCTGTAACAATGTTGTTGTACCCACTTTACGCATCGGTGGTGGCGATAGAAAGCGCGTCAAAAGAAGACGATCAACAGTGGCTTTCTTACTGGATCTTATACTCCTTCCTCACGCTCGTGGAGATGCTTCTTGCATCGGTCCTTGAATGGTGAATACTCGAATAAAACACAAAAACGTTTTATTTCAAGATTTGGTCATCGTGATTTCAAGTAACTAATGGTTAAATTGTTTGTTTGTGATGTTAGGATTCCGATATGGTATGATGTGAAACTGATAGCGGTGGCGTGGTTGGTGTTGCCGCAGTTCAGAGGAGCTGCTTTCATCTACAATAAGTTCGTGAGGGAGAAGGTGATTAAGAGATACTACCCTGGGATTGGAGGAGGAGAGCACAAATCATCGTCGTCGTCCCCAAATGGAAAGATGAAGAACAAGCTTGCTGATCTTATGACCACTAAGAAATCCAGTTGATTGGGTTAGGTTGGCAGTATATTATTGTTAACAACTGACTGTGTTTACTATGCTTTCGTTTTTCGTTTATCGATTTGAGGTTTGATTTTAAGTTAAAGTGGTTGTGATTGGGTATGATTATCACAGTTGTATTGAAGAATGAAAATGAAGAACTGGTTTCTGATTTCTTTAGATGGTGTGTGTAATTTCACTATTTTGATACTGAAATCAGTTGCTTCAGGTTGAAGTGGGTCATTTTGGGGGTTTTGCTTCGGTTGTGGAAGGACCTAAATTTTTGTGGTACGGATTCAAGTATTCATCATGATTTTATAGGGACATGTTACCAAGAAAGTAAAATGTTGAAACTTACACACAAAACAATGACTAACTAAAGTATTTGTCTCTATTCTGTACTCTTTAACAACAATGACAATAAAAAACAATGAAAATTAATTAAACTGTTTTTTTTTTAATAAAACTAACACAATAACACACACATATAATATGAAAATATTAATAACCATTTTCTTTGGAATGTACCGTTTTAGGGTAGTTCAAATGTGTTTTTGAGTAGGTTGTTGGCAAGAAATAAATATGACGCCGTACATTCTAAGTTAAAAACTGTATTATGAAATATAATCTTCAGAGTGAAAAATTAAGTATTTATATTGTCATTGTTGCTCCCATTTGAGAAAATCTCAATATGCAGAGCATATTTTGCATTCGATTATTGAAATCAAGTTTGTATAAGCATTTTAGAGTACCTTTTTGTAGCGTAGGGAAATGGAAGTGAATCGACAAATCAATATAGTATATATGTTATGGTGTAGATGTTTGTAAATTATAATGAGAATGCACGAAAGAACATAAGAAAACCGCTGAGGCCTATGTAAGAAAACCAATGTTGTTGAGGCCTATGTTTGACACAATGTCCTTACAATGATAGCCAAATGTGGAAAAGGTTGAATCTTGAGCTCGGAAGGGCTACTCCTGGCAACACAAACAATCTTCTCCAAAATCTCTCTAGAAACAACAAAAACTCTCCAAGACCATTTTACCCCATCCATGACCTAGACCCAAATCCATAACATGAAAGGCCTAATTACTAGTTAGCCTTCCCAAGTCCACTAGTGGCCCACTAATTGCCTAATTTTCAAAATTGGACCCAATTCCTCTAATAGTCCTTACCTTAAAGCCCAAACATATTCTTAACCCAAAATATGTGATTTCTGAAGGCCCACTAAGGCCCACTACTAAGAAGTCCAAGTAATGGCCTAAATCGAGGTCCACTTGTGCGAAACCCATTTTGGCTGTGTACTGCTGCGTGCAAATAGCTACACCTAATTTTACCTACTCTCCTACTAGTTATTCGACCTAAGGCAGTGTACACTTTCACAAATAGTATATCACAAAAGTCGGGTATCGAATATAGAGAATGAAATTAATTATAAAACCTACTTACTATTAAGTTAACTTAAAATTCTAACAAAAGTAAAAGAGTTTTTATCTAATTTTGCAAGTTTAAACGAACTTAAATTCTCAAACATAATTCAATCAAATATTTAAAACAATTATGTTAGTTTGAATCAACTTTCCCTCAATGGTTTGACTATTAATTATGACAATTCTCGTTGGTTACTAATTGATGTATTGTTAGCAATTCAAGTCCAATTTTACTAATATTGAATTAATTCATGTAGAGCCATGCATTGTCATACATAATTTAACACAAAATCAATTATTAGATAGGATTGAAACTATGTAAGATTGAATTAGCAAATACAATTATGGTCATAATAAGAGTTCTCCAGCATAGCTAAATTCAATACTTTAATTACTAAATTCATACCCTTGGCTGCTGAAGACAAAATCAAACACTTGGATTATGCATACCCTAACACCCACATCCGAGATGGGCCAAATCCTTCCTTTCCTAAGGTCCTAACTCTTATGACAACCAATGATTGGGCCGCAGCCCCTAGCAACGAAGGTTTTTCAAAACCGGGTGTTACAGTTCTACAACTCTCCCCTACTTGAATATGATTTCGTACTCGAAATCCACTTTTGCAAAACACACTGATTACCTCCCATGTAATTCCCTATGGGTTTTCCAAACCCACTTACCGATCTACATGATGTCACACCCCAAAATCGGAACGGCGGAAACGTTCGAGGTGGAGGACGTCATGTTTAGCATCACAAGACATGCATCATAGTAATCAAAGTAATAAACAACCATTTCATTAGCAAGAAAGTGTTTACAAAATATGTGACATCCCCATTTTCACGGCCAGAAAGACCGATTTGTTTATGCTTGTTTTTAAAATCAGAGTACTCTTTTAACGAAAACAGTTGCGGAATTTGTTCCCAAAACAAAATATGATAAAAATTATCAAAACATTTCTTTAAAGAAATGTATTTTCATTATATAACAAAATCTCGGGATGTCATGTTCCGATACATACATATAAGCATAAACAGAACTTACATTTAATTACACAATTGATTTATATCTCCTTTAAATCTCTTTGTGAAATATATCTTCGTATTAATACCTGTGATACAAAGAAAACTGAGTGTGTCAGGCTTGGGAGCCTGGTGAGCATATAGGGTTTTCATCCCACAATGTTATATCATATATTTATAAATATAGAACATTCAAACTTGTACAATTTCACCACATAAAGACAACTCTTATCCCACCCCCATCGATCCTCATAACGACACGATCTAAACTCTCGTATCTAAAATTTTCCTCTTTACCTGATCCCTACTCACGGATCTAAAACTATTATCTTCACCCGATCCATACTCACAGATCTAAAACTAACCTTTTCTCCTGATCCATACTCACGGATCTAAAACTAACCTTTTCCCCTGATCCATACCTACGGATCTAAAACTAACCTCCTGATCTGATCCATACTCCCGGATCAATAATTGTACCCAATCCATACTCCTGGAATAGGGACAATTAACTATACCTTAATCCTGATCTGATCCATACTCTCGAATCAATAATTGTGCCTAATTCATACTCCCAGACTAATAACAAGTTTTATCTCTTTACCTGATCCATACTCCCGGATCTAAAATTAATCTCTTGGTCTAATCCAACTCATCCTTTTATCACACACCAACTATCTCATCTACCCATGTTCTACCCAACATATTTGTAGATATAAATATATATTTTTATACATAGTTTAAAAACTATATAGCATTCTCATTCAATACCTATTCCACATAACAGATGAGGCACACTCACATAACACGTATTTCATAGAGAATAAATCAGATCTATGAGATAGAAGAAAGTGAATATACATTCACACACATAACAACAAAATTATACACATAACACGTATTTCGTATAAAATACTTCATAATTATGCGTTAGAAGAAAGTAACCACACACTCACTTGATTAGAAGATGATCGGACAGCACTACGACTTGTAGAAGTAGTATTCTTCGGTAGATCTGGAAGATCTTCACAAAAACCGGGCTCCTCGCGGGCATAGCTTCAGCTCGGGAATCGCACTTCTCGGGATCTTCGGGGCCTCGGGACTTGCTTCGGGGCTCGGGAATGATACCAAGGCTTCGGGATATTTCTTGCACAAAAAACGATGCAAAAACGCAAGAAAAAGGGAAGAAATGAGCAAAGAAGTCGGTTGCCCTCGACACTCTTTTATAGGGGGCTGAAACATGAATAACACTGGGCGTAATACTAAATTACACTGGGCGTAATGGGGATAAGAACGCTGACCCCCCCCCCCCCCTTCGGGATAATATCGAATTTATATTTAAATTAAATATCGAAAATATTTAGTAAACTTCAAAAAATCATATCTTCCTCATACGAACTCCGTTTTCGACGTTATTTATATCCCCGCGTAGGTGAGACTACGCTCTACAACTTTCGTTTAGACTCCGTCGGTTAACTTTGACTTTATTTTTATTATTTATTTTTAGTAGGCCGGGACAAGAAAACTCCGTTATAAAATCATAACTTCTTCATCTGACGTCCGTTTTCGCCTATCTTTTTTATCATTTTACTACAATTAATGAGATCTTCGATTCTCATTTAGATTGCTTCAGCTAAAAACCGCTCGGTCTTAAATCGAGTATTCGGGCTGCATACCGCTAAGTTGAAACTTCGAAAAATCATAACTTCCTCATACGAAGTCAGATTTGGGCGTTCTTTTTATGCACGCTCATGGTTTAACGAACTATACGACTTTCGTTTAGATCGCTAAGGCTAAATATCACTCTAACAGAAATTCACTTTTTACGTCATTCAGCGTCGTGCCGGTTCTGTCGCGAAACTTCGACAGATCATAACTTCTTCGTTATAACTCAGATTTTGGTGTTCTTTATATGTACGGAATCCTTGTAATATATACTATAACTTAATTAAGATTATTCATTATAAATAATCTTTCATCAAAAAATCATTTTTGACGCCTATCGTCTTTAAATTGACTAGCCCTGATCTACGGGCGTTACAAAATATGTGTTCACAAAACATAGAGTACATAAGCAAATAACAAAACAGGACTTGAAGCTATACTGCTTCATCTTCTGAATCCCAGCGCGAGTACCTATCTACTAGTTTCCTGAGAATACAAGTTATTTGAAAGAGTTTATCAGCAATTAAGCAGGTGAGTTCATAAGATTTTAGTGATGTAAGTATGTTGTAGAAAGTTTAGTAAGTTCTAAGTTATCTTTACAAAAGTTCGCTTGTTCCTCCAGAAAATCCTATATTTCCTGCTTTGATGAAAGATAAGTAAAAATGACTATACAATCCTTTCTCCGAGTACTAAATGGATACAAGTTATATAAAACTCAGAGTAAACAAACAATCAATTGTGTGTATCTGCCCTAAGCCCACAACCTAACAAGGAACAGGAAATGGGGCGGATGGCACACATCCCATTGGTTGTTAGATCATTGTTGTATATAACCCTCGTGTATTCACTTGGTACTCACGGAGTTAATAGCAATAGTTCATTTATATTTGATGAAAAGATCCTGTAACATCCCAAAATTACGAGCCAAAAATTTCATTTTTAAAAGACATACTTAGCAAAACATTAGAAATAAAACATTCACCGATCATATCATTTCATAAAAGATGTGCGTGTTTGGAAACCAGTTTATAAAAACATAACAATGTCAGAGTACAAATCCCCAGGTTGATCTCATAATGCGGAATACAAAGCGTGTGTGTGTGATGTGCTGCTACCGCGCCAGCTCCTTCCCCTTTGAAGAAGAGGTACCTGAAACCAAAACTGAAAACTGTAAGCACGAAGCTTAGTGAGTTCCCCCACCATACCGCATTCCATACAATCACGTATCATACATATTTCCGGG